ATGGTCAATCATTCCCCAAACTAATTTCTAAAAGTTATGTAAGATAGTTTTTCGTAAAACTTTGTACAGTATCAGATTATTACAGTTCCTTGTTCAGTTTTTAAAATGGAAATGAGAATGTTATGTCTCCATGATGCTAGACAATGAGTTGGAGACAAAATGTCTTCATTTATTCATTCATTCATTCATTCCGATATATTAATGTTTATGCTTTCTTCTGTTTCAGTTGGAGGAGGGAATCTGCTGCTCCTCCAACTGTAATTGCATTTGTAGAATATTTTAAAGTTCTATTAGGAACTTTAAAATATTAGGTACCACTCCAGTGGGAAGATAACGGCGCTCCATGCAGTCATGCCAGCCACACGACCTTGGAGGTGTCTACAGACATGACTGGACTTAATGTCAAGGGACAACCTTTACCTTTACCTATTAGGAATTATATTTTGATTAAAGTATACTTTCAATATATCAAATGTATGTATATGTGTATATGTGTGTGTGCGTATCTATATAAATAAAAATATAATGTTCGTTTGTGGGATTAACATAAATCAAAAACCACTGGACAAATTGACACCAAATTTGGACACAATACACCTATCAGGCCAACAAGTGACCATCACTCAAAAAATTGGTTTTGTCATTTGGGAGTTGTAGTTTCTGGGATTTATAGTTCACCTACAATCAAAGAGCATTCTGAACTTCACTAACAATGGAATTGAACCAAACTTGGCACGCAGGATTTCCAAGACTAACAGAAAACAGTAGAAGGGTTTGGTGGGTTTTGAGTTTTGGAGTTTTGGAGTTATAGTTTACCTACACCCAGAGAGCACTGTGGACTCAAACAATGATGGATCTGGAGCAAACTTGGCACGAATACTCCATATGCCCAAATGTGAGCACTGGTGGAGTTTGGGGGAAAATAGACATTAACATTTGAAAGTTGTAGTTGCTGGGATTTACAGTTAACTTATCAAAGAGCATTCTGAACCCCACCAACAATAGAATCAAACCAAACTTTCCACACAGAACCCCCATGACCAACAGAAAATACTGTGTTTTCCTATGGTTTTGGTGACCCCTCTAACACCCCTTTATGATCTCCACTGGGGCAAGAAAACATAACCAAAGCCCTCCTGACAAAGAGGCACCCAGCCATAGATATAGAAAGCTAGATATGATTCACACACACACATATATGTATATGACAGATATAGTATCATAGATTTGAAAGGGACCCCTAAAGAAGGACAATTATATCTTGCATGTTCCAGAGTAGGCAAACCAGACAATCACTACATCAGCACTGACAAAGAAATAACAAGAAATACTGTTTACCCACAAGCATAAATAAATTACATATATTAGAAACCAACACTTTCTCATTACTTTATTTTCCAGATCACCAGACTGGGCCACAGCAACGCTTGGCAGGGGACGGCTAGTATATATATATATAAAACGTGTTTTAAGTTCTTAAAGTAATAATCTGATTCTTAATGTATTAGAGGTGCTTATACTGTATTTTTCAAACCCGTTCCCCCCCCCCCCCCCCCCCCAATTTCCTAAACTTTTATCTGCCCATTATTTTTATCTTATATTCAACAATATTTATCCAAAAGTGGAATGGACTCTGCAGGCATACCAGTTTCCCTCTCTTGCTCCACAAATGTACTCTGGATGACTAAGGAATCCATACAAATAGATGTAGAGGTGCAGGAGGAAGAAAGGATAAGTGGAGTCAAACTTACACTGAGTTGAATGTTACACTTTTTCAACAGAACAGATCAATGAGCACTTGACACTCCACCAATGGCCTGCAAATGAGAAAAAAATCTCCCTCTATTTTTATTTATTTTTGTATGTTTCTTTAAATATTAGATAAGTAAAATTAAATAAACTTGCTATCTCTTAGCACAACAGTCCAGAGCCCCTTCCACACAGCTAAATAAAATCCCACATTTTCTGCTTTGAACTGGAATATATGGCAGTGTTGACTCAGATAACCCAGTTCCAAGCAGATATTGTGGGATTTCCTGCCTTGATATTCTGGGTTATATAGCTGTGTCGAAGGGTCCTAAGTCTTCACCAGGCAGGCTCTATCAACTAAACTACAACAAAATACATATTTTATGTATTTAAGTTTGCACCACAGCATCAGCCCAGACAGCTTACACCTAGATAACTGTTTACCTTTGTTAAGGATAAGTAATGAGAACTGATATTGTTATCACGTGCCTTCCTTATAGCTACTATATGGAAAACTTATCATGGGGTTTTCTTGACAAGAGGCGATTTGTCTTTGCCTTCCTTTGAAGCTGAAAGAGTGTGACTTGCCCAGGGTCATCCAGTGGGTTTCCATTCAGTCCCTGATCTCCAGAGTCCTAGTCCAAAGCTCAAACTGTATGATGTTGGTTCATTAAGGCACAATAGAATGTCCACCCCATGTCCCCTGATCTGATTAATACTGTATATTGCTGTGGGTGAAGAAAATATTTCAGTATCTGTATGATCAGATCACAAAATATTTTACTAGTCACAGGCCAAGAACCAACATGGCTTTCAGTAACAGCAGAAACCTGGACTTTCTTTTACTCCTCCTCGAACAGTAGCCATCTGCTACACCAAAAACATGGTCTAGAGCAGTGGTTCTCAACCAGTGGTTCCAAGGTATTTTGGCCTACAACTCCCAGAAATCCCAGGCAGTTTACTAGCTGTTAGGATTTTTGGGAGTTGAAGGCCAAAACATTAAAAACCCACAGGTTGAGAACCACTAGTCTAGAGTTTCTTAGCCCTCTTGATTAGGTTTTTAGGAGACATGGAGGAACGATGCTGAGAAATGCAGCAAAATTCTGTCAAACTACATAATTGGATCCTAGCCACAGAAAGAAAACAAACCCTCATACCCTCTTACTCATTGCCTATGGGACACTATAATCACAGTTATCATACCTTGTACTACTGCATGTTACAAAGAAAATAATCAAGTCCTTTTTACTATAGTTTGAATCAATAATTGTATTTCAGGGGAAAAAACAGGTTGATATAAGTGATTGGGGGGGGGGGGGAAGAAAGCCATCCTTACTATAATAATACAGCATAGAGCTGGCTTATTAAGAAGGCTTCATAATGTTCTGAACACATAATAATTACTCTAATTTCTTTTAACATGGCACCAAATTAAATTGTAATGTAGTGAGCAAGAACGATCTACCCTTTTCAGCTCCTGGAATCATCACATACCTGTAAAAAAAGCCCTCATAAATATGTTGTACATAGTAAAACTAAATGAAACACTATATGACACAAGTATCCATTCAGAAATTAGTCCTAGCTTTACCAAAGCATTAATTGTGTAACCTGCTCCTCACTTGACAATCTGGGGAATAATAAACACTGCCACATTCTTCAGGGGCTGCTCTGTCAGATAAATCAATATCTTACTGTTGGCACTGCTATAAGCAACCACCTTTTCAATACAGGTTTCATGTACGTGAGGGATAACAGTGCTCGCAATTAAATTAGTCTCTCTTATACAAAATGAACAAAATTAATAAAGGCCAGCTAGAAAACGTTGAGATCTTACCTAAAATCTCATTAACTAAAACGCGCAAAGTGGCAATTCCTTTTAAACCATTAATATTCAAACACTTAAATCCTATGAATTTTTATGTAGTCCTAAGTCCCATTTAGTTGAGTCAAATAAGCTTACTCCCAGGATTGCAGTTTAAATAAAATGTTAATGCCAATGACCATCATTGAACACGGGGCAATATTAAACAAAATGGAAGGATCAAGTATAAAAAACAAAACCAACAACTTGTCCCAGCAAGGAAGTACCTGAAATGTTACCTTTTGTCCAGAAAGAGCAAACAATTACCATATGTTCATAGCAGGTCTGCGGATCTTAACTAGCAACCATGAAGATGATTACATACACATATTTTTAAGAGCAGAAGATGAATGATTCTTTATGGTCAACTTGACACTTTCAGCGCCCCAAGAGAAGTAAAAAGACACAAAGCCCACCATTCTCCTAAAAGCTATAAAACTCAATGTGATTTCTGGCTATGCTTTCCCTTCTCTTTCCTGCTTAATAGGGAAGGTCACATAAATGTAAATAAACTTAATTTTATGGAGTTTTGGGATTAGAGCGGCCGATCATAAAAACATGAAATGCAGCTTTTGCTACAACCTCAGGCTAAGTCAAGATGGGTACTTAACATAAATTACACCCCCAAAAAAGTTTTTAATGGAATTGGAAGGTTTTTCCTTGTGTTAAATAAATACTAAATTGTGGCAAGGTGGATAACAAGAGGAGGTTAAGATGCAACACAATGAAGATTGTTCTTCTATTAAAAAATTAAGTTAATGGCAATAAATAAGAAACAACCTGCTCATAATACTCCATAGAAGAGGTAGAGGGGAAAAAACCAGCTATGGAGGAGATCATCAGAGGCAAAAAGTTCACAAAAAAGGCACAAAATCTCAGCTGGGCGCCTAAGGCCCACACACAAGTCCCAAGAGGGAGAAAACAACCCAAAGGATTCTAAGAGGCAGGTTTGGTTCTGTGAGATGCTCAGTTTATTTTCATCAAAGGTAGAAAAATATACAGCGTAATCAGGATGGTCTCCTTCCAGAATAAGAAGCAGGTTAAACAAACAAAAATCCCCCCTCCCCCCCCCAAAAAAAAGCAGTGTGGGGTGATGGGGGAGGGTTCCCCACGAGAGAACCCAAATCAACAAAACGCAGAGAATACCTCCCCACTTCCCCATCCAAACTCCATTGCCCCCCCCCCCCCAGGAGAAGAAGATGGGGCCGCATAAAGAGAACGCCACACAGGCCAAGGAGTGGGCTCCCCCTCCTACAGCCCTCCTTCCCCATAGAAGACCCAGGCCGGTCCTCGAGGCTGAGGAGGAAGAGGGGGGGGGGAGAGAAAACAACAGAAAAGAGGCGCGGGGGACGAGGCAGCGAGGCTCCCCCACAACAGTCATATTCACCTGGGCTGTGGAGGGCTGTGGTGGTGTTGCTCTTGCTGGTGGCGGTGGTGGTGGTTGTTGTTGTTGTGGGTGATGATGGTGAGGACGGGGGTGAGGAGGAACAGCAGCAGGAGGAGGAGGAGGTGGTGGAAGAGGAGGAGAGGAGCCGTTGTTGTTGATGGGTAACAGTCGCCAGGACTACGGTGACTATGGCGCTTGATTCACAAGGCAACGGTTGCTATAACTCACAAAAGGGAGAGCGCCAGCGAGCGAGCGAGAGGGAGGAGGAGGAGGCGGAGGCCCAGCCTCGTCGGCCCCGGAAGAGGCGGGGCTTCTGGGGAATAACTGACACACGGAGGGAGGGAGGGAGAGAGGGAGGGGAAGACGTGAGCGAGCGTTATGAGTCAAGATCTAGCGCTGCGCGCGGCCTCTTGAGGCGCGTGGCGGTTGGCCGCGGCGGTTATCTCTCCATCTCAGGCTTGCAGGGAGGGAAGGCGCGCGCGCGGTAATTAAACAGCGCGCGCGCGAGAGAGGAGGTAGGGGTTCCAAAGGGGCGGAGCTACTCTCTCCTCAGCGGCTGCCGCGTGGGGGAAACCTGGCAGCGGCTCAGTTGTCACTTCCGGCGGCGGCGGAGTGAGGGCGGGGGAAAGAGGAGGAGGAGAGGGTGGGGGATAACGTTGAGAGAAGCGAATGTCCCGGATGTGAAGTGCCGCTGAGCAGGCCGGTCGGCCTTCCTCGCTCCCTCCCTCCTTCCCTCTCCTGACTTCTTCTTCCTCCCCTTGTCGGGGCTGACTGAGGAGAAGAGGCCTTCCCGCTTGGGTGTCCCGCTCGGCCCGCGCTTCCTTCCCTCCTCCCGCCAGGCGGGGCTAAAATGGCTCGGGGCTAGGCCGCCATCTTATGTGGGGGAGGCCTTCCTGGCTGTGAGAGCGCCAGCCCCTCTGGCGCCAGACGTGTGAGAGGGAAGAGAGGCCTAGGCCCCATTACTGTGGTCAAGGAGGGGACAGCAGGCTGGAGGAAACCCCACCAGAGGGATTCGTGGAGAGGCCGGAGAAGCGCCTCCCCGCCCTGCCTTGCCTGCAGTTGTATCTACGCTTTAACTGCCCTGGCTAAGTGCTCTGCAAGGGAGTTGTAGTTTCATGGTCAAAGAAGGCTCCCCACTTTCCCAAAATACAACTTCCTCCATCGGCACCTGTTCAACCGCTATGGCTCAGTGCCATAGAATCATGGTTTGAGCCTTTTGGTGAGAAACCAGTACTCTTTGTCAAACTACAACCCCCGGGATGCCATGTCCTTGAGCCATGGCACATAAAATAGTTTCAAACAGCATTACTTACTCGGTATAGATGAGCCCAGGAGCCCCTGGTGGTTCAGCACGTTAAACAGCTGAGCTGCCAAACTTGTTGACTGAAAGGTTGGTTCAAATCTGTGGATGGGGTGAGCTGTTATTAGCCCCAGCTTCTGCCAACCTAGCAGTTCAAAAACATGCAAATGTGAGTAGATCAGTAGGTACCGCTTCTGCAGGAAGGTAATGGGATTCCATGTAGTCATGCCAGTTACATGACTTTGGAGGCGTCTATGGACAACACCGGCTCTTCAGCTTAGAAATGGAGATGAGCACCAACCCCCAGAGTCAGACACGACTAGACTAAACCTTTACCTTTTACCTAGGTGAGACCTCCTTCAGCCTCTTGGCACACTACAGAATTATAGCATTTTGAGACTGCTTTGAACTGCCACGACACAATGCTATAAAATCCTGGGGTTCATCGTTTTTTGAAACATTTCACCTTTTCTTATGAGAGAGCTCTGGGCTACATCGAACTACAAACCACTCAACTTTATAGGATTGAGCCGTAGTGGTTAAACTGGTGCCAACTTACATGTCTGAACACATCTCCCCTTATGAACCATCTAGGACCTTAAGATCATCTGGGGAGGCCCTGCTCTCATTACCACCTACGTCACAAGTACGTTTGGCGGAGACAAGAGAGCCTTCTTGGTGGTGGCCCCTCGGCTATGGAATGCCCTCCCTATAGATATTAGATCGGCCACTTCCCTTTTAACATTCCGGAAAAAAGTCAAGATGTGGCTTTTTGAACAAGCAGTTCCAAATGCAGAATAACTAACATAGCAAAAAGGAATGGCGACAATAAGACCGGACAACGTTTTTAACAAGGAGACACTATGAATTTATATTTTATTGATTTGTTTCATTTTTATTATATGTAATGTTTTTAATTATACTTATGATATTGTAAGCATTGAATTTTACCCTGTTAACTGCCTTGAGTCGCCTACAGGCTGAGAAAGGCGGTATACAAATACAGTAAACAAATAAAAATAAATAAATATAATTCTATGGTGTAGCAAGGGGCCAGAGTGTTGCTTCGCATTACGAAGAGCAGGCAGAAATGAGGTAGGTGGTTGGTCAGGTCCTTGATATGTGGTTGCCTCAGTCTTCCTACCACTTTACTAAGAGGGCAGGGATAAGAATTGCCTCTTTGGCATTGCTCTCCTTTGGTCTCTAGGTCTTTCTAGGCAGCACAGCAGGCCTGCTTTTGCCAAAGGAAAAGGACTGACTTGTGATCCATTGGCAAAAAGGAACTCAGTTTGCAGTTACTCCATTTTGTATATGCAAGAGACTTCCTTTTTGTGAGAATGAGAAGTATTGCTATAGGTAGTCCAGAAGTTTGGGCCTTCTCAATGTATGAAGACTTCAATAGTTTTCTTTCCTGGATTTAGTTCCCATGTACACTGATCATTTGGTGCAGTTGCAAACCAGTATTGAAGAAAGTGATTTTGCTGTGAAGATGATTACATAGTAAATCCTTGAAAGTGGTTTGACGCCTGGATGGCAGTTGCACAAGCCACAAAGTATTGGTTCATATTAAAGAGTTTGCTTTCACGTGCTCTCATGGGAGTTGGCTGTCTTGTCACCACAGTTTGAAGCTAGAGTCGAATGCATTAATGGTCAGTGTAGATGGAACCTTCAAGTAACTGGCTGTTCAGATTGACCTTTTTAACAACACGTAAGAAACACATACTTTGGTACACACTCATGATTAATTTGGCAACATGAACTTCCCCTGCATCTGACTTTGAATAACAATTGCACATTTGAAGCCCCTGGTCCAGCCAAAAGCATCCCTGGCAAAGTCAAAGTAATTGTGCGATGCCAGCAAGTCTGGTATTATCTTCTTTTTTGTCATTTTTATTTTTCCAGGCATGTTTATAGCTGAAATGGAATTCCATTTTCTGTAATTATGTGTTCAGGTCCAAAGCATTAATCATATTGTTTAATGTATTTCTGGTTAAATAATATATATTATTGGTATGAAAGACAGCCAGTTTGCACACTTGACAATATGGCACACCATCTTAGTTTACATTGCTGGATATCTAAGTCAACATTAGAATATTTATATTGAAGAATGGCACCAGCATTTTTAACATAAAATAAACATTGGCCAAGATTTTGGGGGGAATTTGCACATGCATGAAAGTGCCATTGCTAGCATAATCTGTTTGTTTCCAATCATTACAGTTGAGCAAAAACATTTATATAATCCAAAAAGAAATACAAACATGAAATCTTTGTATGTTGTGGAGGGGAAAGCTCAAACTGCTGGTTTTCTATCACTTAGTAAACAAAACGACAAAGGGAATTGATGAAAGTTCAAATATATGACTTGCTTCTTTAAAGAAGGAGGAAACATTTTTTCAAAGATGTGGATTAGAATTGCAAAATAAAAATACATAGAATTTTAGGAAGTCTTGCTTTTTTAAAAAAAATGTGACAAAACAGTGTAATCAGGCCTGAATCAACTTAGAAATATTAGATATTTTTATTATAATGTGTAGTCCTTTAAACAGATAAGCCAGTTAGATGCTCTTAACGTTCACTCCTAGCCTACAAAGACATTCACCTTAGTTGAAAACAGTCAGATTCTGTAACCATGGATTCAGCTACCCAGAGCTTGAAAATAATATCTTTGTTTTGCCATTTTATATGACCAACACCATTTTACTACACCATTGTATATAATGGGACTTGAATATCGGGGGGGGGGGGGGGGGGGGTCCTGTAACCAGATATCAGGAGCCCACTGTAGTTTCATTTTATTGCCTTATATGTGAATGCAACAAGGTAAGACATAGGTAATCCACATTAGATGATCTTGAGCATTTATCTTTAGCAGGTAGCCTGGAAAATCAGCATAATTTGGCCACTGAACAGGTTGACTGCCTATCAGTCTACTGGTAAAGATGCAGAAATACTCTGGAAAATCTAGTAGAATTGTGAAGATTTGATTGGCAGCTGAATGAGCTGGAATCATTGTTTAGTAAGCATGAATGTCATCTAGGGCATGTTGAAGTTTTCATATTTAAAATATGAATTTATTGATTTTGTAGGAAAGGGTTCACATTTTAATGGTATACTGAGAAACAACAGTACTTCAACATATTCTTGTTACATAATTTCTACAAGGAGTTCAGAACTTCATACAGTAATATCCTAGTCAGGTCAGGGTTACATTCACTTAGCAGCTGAAAATGAAACTGCACTGCTTACTGTTGTATTTCAAACTATTGCAGGAATGAGGCCTGGGGAACTGCAGTTGTATGTATTTGAAAGCCTTACTATGTTTCTCCCATACTTTCCTCTATACAGGGTGAGGCAGCATAACTTCCTTTTTTAAAATGCACACCATTCAGTCGGTTGAAGACGTAGCAGAGCGCTAGTGGTCTTGTTCGAGAGGCAGGAGTATAAAGTTTTGTCCTGACACAGTTCAGTCGCCATCATGCATTGGAACAGTGAGGAGCGTGCTTTTGCCATTGAGGCCTACTTTTCGAGCGGATTTGGAGTGGTCGGCCCGCTCTCCAGATTTGGCCCCTTGTGATTTTTTTCTATGGGGTTTTTTGAAATCCTGTGTTTATGTGAACCATCCCCTGTCTGAGTATCAGCCAGCACGTCAACAACTTAAATCTAGAAATAGTTTTCTAAGATCTACAGAGACACTTACTGGAACACCTCAGCAAGCGAGAGTCCAAAAGTGTCAGGCTCAAACCCAGAACCTCAACCAATGGCTGATACCAAATGAGAGACTCCCCCCTGGGCACACAGAGGACTGGGCGACTTGGAAGGCGCTGAACAGACTGCGCTCTGGCACCACAAGATGCAGAGCCAACCTTCAGAAATGGGGCTACAAAGTGGACATGCGAGTGTGGAGAGGA